ATTTTTTTCACTCGTCCTTTTTCGCCGTCAGAACACTCGCGCGTCTTTATTCGTGTATTGAGCATAACAAAAAAAAAATTTTTAAAGTTTCGGATTCTAATATTTTCTTTAATTATTTTTCGCTTCCGTTCAACGTTAAGGACACTCACGCAATTCACTGACTGGCTTGAAATCGGGCAGCTCCGGCAGCTCGGCATTCACCGTTAATTGTGCCGCACAGCAGCCAATAAGGCAGGCAAACAAAAGCACATATGAAAAACGCAACATTTCCAACAAAATTTTCCACCAAAATCGATTATTTACTAAATTTTAAAATATTTTCTTCTTCGTATAATCCGAGTGCTATATGCCTAGGATTTGCCTGCCTTCCTGTGCTGGTTCACTGCTGCGAGTAATTTTCCGTTTGCGTGCGTTTAATTCTGTAGGAATGCGCGATCACTTCGACAAACGCGCAACAACACTGCAAATCGCTTTGAAAGCATCTAAAATTCATACCGGCAGATACAGTGGTTTTTATTGCAAAGCATTGGTACCTGCTCACATATGTATGTACGTATGTACTTATGTACGTACACCCACTTCTTCGCCTCCCGAGCGGGCGAGACACCAATGAGGTAAATAAAAAAAGTCGTAGATATATGTGTGTGTGTATGTTTGTGCGAGTACTCAGTTAGAATAATGAATAACTAAATATTGGCTGGTCACAGTAATAATTAGGTTTGTTGAATATTTTTAGATTTTAACACACACACATATTTATGTATATACCAGAGTTGTTGCGAATATTCGCATTCGCAACCGCGGAGCTTCCGCATTAATTTTAACATTCGTATTTGCAAATGGTAAATTGTCTCCAAAATTATGTACCTGTAGAGATGCAACGTTAGATCGCGCCATCTACAGCTCGAGAATAACCACATTTATTTGTTTTTGTCAAAATTAGCATTCCACGATTACTCAAAAAAAAAAAACACTTCAACAAATTCTGGGCCGACTGAATCAACCGCATTCCAAGACTGCATCACGCGATGGCACAGTTCCTTGCACATGTTCGAGCGATTTTTAAAGGTAAAAGATGCGTTGAGCCTTTATTTAAACGACAGTGACATGGATGCAATTTTGCCAGAAGAGTCTAAGATCATGGAATCTTGTGTTGAGTTACCAAAAAAATTTTAAATAAGCCACATCCATGATTCCAATACTGCAAATGCTTATAAAAACCACTGGCTGAGAGCAAATGGTATGATCGAAACTAAATGTCGTTCTCGTAGTTTTGTTCTCAAGAACGCTTCAAAACCAAAACTAAAATGAGAACAAAACTGTCGAGAACATTCTCAATGCGAATTTTATAAGAACAAAACGCTGTGAAACGTTTCCAAAGAGAACAAAATGCGAACAATAGTTTCGGGAACATTTCTAAGAGGCGAAAATGAGAACAAAAGTCTCGGGAACAAAAGTATAAGAAACTTTCTCTCGAAGAACAATTTGGAAACTAAAATCTAGGAACTTTCTGACTGAGAATGAAACGAGAACAAATCTTCTCTGAACTATTTGAGAACAATGGAAGCGAGAACAAAATTTGTCACATAGCGTTCATTAGTTTGAAATGATTGTATATTAAAACTAATCAAAAAGGAACTGAAGATACTTATGCAAATTAAGTCAATGAAAGACTTAAGACACGAACTTTTCTTGCACAAAAAATTAAAAATCGTTCCAAAAAATGTACAATTCACGCTAATGATAAACAATTTGGAAGTTGAAATGACGCAGACCACCTCTGGCTTAGAATTACAATCGCGGTTCTCACTAAAACGATGTTTCATCCTAACACGCAGACTATCCTCTCATTCTTAACGTAAAATTCTCAAAACTTTTGTTCTCGTTTGGTTCTCTAGCAAGATTTTTGTTCGCATTTGATCCTCCTTGAAAACGTGCTCGATACTTTCGTTCTCATTCGAAACGTTCCCGAAAGTTTTGTTCTCATGCTGTTCTTCTTGACAACGTTACCTAGTGTTTTGTTCGCATTTTATTCTTTATGAAAACGTTCGCAAACCTTTTGTTCCCATTTTATTCCCGTTCAAACTACTCTCAATACTTTTGTTCCCGTTAGATTCTTTTGTGGGAACTCTCTTGATTGACAGTTTGTTCTCATGCAGAACTAAATCAAAACTGAAACGCGTTCTCGGTCGCTAATAAAACTGGGTGACTTTTTAACAAAATCGCAATATTCTGATGCGAATCGGCTGGTAGCCACGAAATTTTCATCACTGGAAAATAACACTTTATTTGCCATATCCACCTATTAGACCCTCGCTATAAGCACAATGCTTTCAAACCAATTACAGAAGAAAGGTTGAAAAATGAATTACATAAAATAACATCGAAAAACACTGATGACATTCCAGGCTCTCATAATTTTGAAACAGCCGACAGCCTGAGAATAAGTAATTCGTTGGATAAAGCTTTAGATTAGCCTGAAACATCTAGTTCGGCTAGTCAGCGGTGTTTAAAGAGAAATCTTGCCATAGATTCCTCAAGTGAAAAAAATAAATATAACTGAAAGTCCTCCCAGCTGGTGGGGGCGTCAATCGATATGAATTTAAAATATTGTCAAAGATTTCGCACGCAGATATTTGTTATTTAGTTATGCAGGTTTGATTTACGACCTTTTAAGAAACAGGCTGGAAACTGAAAAGGCAGCAACATTACTTTTTATTAAATATAAAGTTCGAATTTTTAAATTCAGGTACTAAATAAAATACCTTACTTACCTAAATTATTCCTTAAAATTACTTACTTGGCATCCGTATCCGCATTCGCAGCCGCGGATGTCTAAAATTCCACATTCGCAACATCCCTAGTATGTTTATACATACACATCTGGTATGTACTAGTCTAGGAACATTATTGTCTTTGTGCTTTATTGATTTGATGTTTGACTGGTTTTATTTTTGCAAACTATTAGAATATTTTTTTCGTTTAATTTTCTTTTGATTGGGATTTTCGCTGCTCAGACACCGCAAACTCACAAAGCAAGTACCGATTTTTTGGTGCTTTAAAAATTTGTATGCATTAAACGTAGATAGTGAGAGTGATTTTTTCTTACTTTAAGAAGCTTATGTATTATTATGTGCAAATAGATGTATGTATGTATACAAAACTATGGTACGAGTATCTGTTTATTTATTTACATATATACCGTATGTATCTACCGGCAAATTTGTGAACGTACATATGTACATATTGGGTGGCATAAATTACAGCAATGAGTGACGGAAGTTCTACAATGATTTCGCATACTTCTACTTATATGCAAATATTTACAAAATCAATCACAGCTTTTATTTATCTATTTACATACTATTTAATATACATAAACTTAGATGCTTATAAAAGCACCCTGCAGGTAAAATCTGTATAGCTTTGCTTTTGATATCACTTGTAAGCATAGAAAGCTTTCAAAGCGGCGGGGAAAAGTTTCGTCTCTTAGACTCGGTTTGGCAAAAATACGTTTAAATTTTCAAAGGCCTTCAGTGCATGTGTTTTTTTTTTTGCGGTTTTCCTTGGAATCGACGTGAAATCGAACAGCTTTTCGGACGGACGAATGACCAAAACCAGAAGGACATGGTTGGGCGAAACAACAGATTTGAGCAATAATGCATTCATATGTATGTGAGGGTGTAGGTCGTTTAAAGTACAAAACCGCGTATGTGAAGTTACCCAAATTTTACAGGAGAAAGTAAAAAGTGCCTTATTTCAAAGCAGTTGTCCCTTGTATGAAACAAACCCATTCCAGGCTAGTTACTTATATCGCTATCTTGGTATAAATGGATATGGCTTGGTGCCGGAGCTTTCGGGTTTGGCGCAAATGTCAGTTACGCGGTTTTTCGCTTTAAACGACAATACTTAGGTACATACACTTGTGGCACAAATAATAGAAACGCCTTACTTTAACCAGTTTTGGCTATACTACTTCTATTTTTTAAGTTTACATTTTTTTTTGTAAAATTCTAGCTTTGTGTATAAAAACTATAAAAATTCAACAAATTTTCAACTAAATTTCCAACTTTTTATCTAGAATTTTAAAAAAAAATTTTAGGTACGCAGTTTTATAGCCCAATAAATGTAGGTTTAACAAAGGGCTAGCTTCGAGCAACTAAAGGGTCGTGTTGATTTTTAATATATATATTTTTTGCAGCCGGTTGTTTTCGGTTTTTTTTTTTATATAAAAAGTGCATTTTATGAAAACTGGTGTTTATTTTTTTTTTTACTTTTTTTATGAACGGTGTTGCACATTTTATTCCCTAAGAAATTCATATTTTGATACTATATATAAAAGAAGATTCACAATACCGTCCACCATCGTTGTAGCGCACTTTATCGACTAAAATTTAATGGGCTATAAAACTGCGTACCTAAAATTTTGAATAAAAAGTTTGAAATTAAAGTGAAAATTTGTTGAATACAAAATACAAAAATACAGTGTTGCCGTTGAAAATTTTCAGAAAGTCGCAAAAAAGGGGTAATTGACGAAAAAAAAATGGTCACCATATTATATTTGCTTTTCTTCGCTAGTAAAAAAAAAAATCTGAGATCGAAAGTAAAAATCAAATTTGCATGTATTATAAAGTCTTTTCGCTGCTAGAACGTTCCGCTGCTAAATTTAAGAAGAAAATAGCGTTACGAGCTTTAAACAAAACACAGAAATCGAGTTACTGCAATGAGAAGAGTTGCATTTCCTTTGAAAGTTTTAAATGGAGCATTATTTCCTACGTACAGGAGGAAATATTTTTTAATAGCATGGGTGTAAAACAAAATCTCTGAAAAGGAGCAAAAGTCGCACATAATTTTGGAAAAGGGTCCGGAGCATTTAGAAACTTAAAATGCATTTTGACAAGAATTGTTGCATCTGAGGCTTCACCACCATTTTACGTAATTTTTCAAGGTATTATGGATGCACACTCGTCAGTTTTGCCTAAATCAACATTTTTCCTGCGGGTGCTGCACTGAGTACAAGTTTATGATGGCTCTTCAATTTTATTGGCATTTGTTTGAGCTTCTCAGTTGACTTACGTTAAACAATGATTGCTAATAATTTAATTAGATAGTTTCATTATGTTGGCTAGTTCGGGCTTGCATCCGACAGCTGCTTTTGTAATCTTTTTATGTGAATGTGTTAGTGTTTTGCGTTATTTCGTCACAGTTTGGCGTTCACTAGCTCATTTAATTCTATGGTTTGTGCTGCGCGATATTCTTACCTCAAAGCACATAGAAATCTCGATATAGTATGTACATATATATATATGTATATGTATATGCATTGGCTTCCATTAATGTTCATAAATTTTTGCACAACTGCCATTGTACTTATTTAAAATTTTGTTTAATAATAATTGTATTATTGGCTAATATTTATTTGTTTTGAAGGTTTTCACAATACTGAACGTTGTGGTTTATGAAATACATAATAAATTAAGCACTAACCAAATAAGTTGTATGTGTATTGCGGAATTTAGTAAACACTAATAATTGTTTGAGCTAATAAATGCGATAATATTCTTTATTGCTAGCCATTAAACACTTTAAAATGAGTGTCCAAAATGTCATAATCTTCCTATAAGCAATTGATTTAAAAAAGGGCGACAACACTGCTGCTTTCTTTAAAAGCTTTCGGGAATACCCTTTTTCTAATTTATGCAAAAAATGCAGCTACCGTAAATGCACCGACAGTCAATAAAAGTCAATTAACATCTAAAAAATAATGAAATGTTTATAATCCTAAAACAGGAGTGGGTATACAATTACTTACACTTACTAAGTGCGATAACATCAAAAGTACGCGGGTTACTAAAAAATGCACAAAAACGAATTGTAGTGTGGGTACAAAGATATGGGGTTTATTTTTTTTTATAATTCAACAACCATTTGAATGGCTGAAATCGTTAAACAAACGATTACAACGAAAAGATAATACTAAATATCATCTAATCCCCCAACATTTTTTATCTTTAACCGGTTTGTGGATTTTGCAAACTGGTGCGCATATAAAACTTGACTTGTAACTTTTGTATGAGCATTCTAACTTTTAGCTAATGTTAGGGTTTTCTATACCCACTTTATTCAAACTTTGTGCTATGTACCTATTCCATCTATATAAAAGACAACGTAGCAAGCAAGAGCATTTAGAAATTAGGCAACAGGGCATTTACATATGTAACTCCGAGCTCTCTGTATCTTTGTACGCGCATCGCTCAAAAACTAATGCGTCATATTGAATGCAGTTTTCACCGATGTATTTTTTTTTTTTTCAAATGCCAACACATCTTAATTCAACTTCGAATGATGTTCGTTCATCCTACCTTTCTCCTTCATTCTTTGAATGGGCTTATTAGCAAAGAAATAAAAAGTGTGAGAAAATACCTTTCCAATGATACTTCACAAGTCTAAATCAGAAGAGTCAAGGTTCAGTTATTCAAGTTTTTCTTATACCAATCTTTGAAAAAAGTTAAAAAAAACAGCATCGAAGATCTCATTATTACGATACCGTTCAAAATTTGTTGTCATTTTTCTTTAAACATTCTTATGAAAATTTGTTAAGCTTAAGCCGTTTTATCATTTGAGGGAATTTTTTCACAAAACATCTTTAAGAAACTATTTTTATTCATAAAAAACTCCATTTTGGAGGTATTTGTAAATTGGTCCAGCTCGCTTAAGTCTTAATATTTTTGCGAAATATTTTGGTGGACGTCTTAATATATAATAGATTTTATAATTTCAATGAAAAAACAGTACCGATTTTTTTTATTTTTTTTATGGGGAATGACATATATGTAGCTATTACGGGAAAACTTTCTAAAGCTGATTTTCTTAACATACATACATACGAACATGTGTATGTAGTATCTCTCGCTTCTGTACTCAGAGTACAGAGAGGTAAAATTGGTCAAAAAGGAGCAAAGTTTGTACAAGTTCTCAAAACATTTATTTAAGCTTTTAAAGTTAACGACATACAATAATAGGACACTTGAAAAGACCCCTAGTAAAATTTTCCGAAAGTTTCTAGAACATAGCAATCCTCTAACGAACTTCCAAATTTGCTTTATGCATGGTTTCTTAAAAGTAAAACAGGGATCACACGATTTGTAAATTTTTCACATTTGTACATTTTTACAGTTACAGAGTGGTGTTGCTTGGAAAGTTGTTATTAAGCTGCACTCATTATTTCTATACAACACCACTCCATTACTGGAAAAATGTACAAATCGTGTGATCCCTGCTTAAGGTGAAAATTAACCTTTCAGACCGGAGCTAACGGGCTAGTATGGCTTAACCTTTTATTTCTCCCAGACATTTATTTTAACCATTTTTCCACATTTTAGAAAACTACTTAGGGCGGGACTTAAAAACTTTAGTGGGCCATAAATAAATATACGAACCAACTTTTACAAATTCACCGAGTATTTTATTATTGCATATGTACACTTTCAGAAAATATTAGTCAAGTGCAGACTGGTTTGAATTGCCGTAAAATTGTCGCACAGTGTAATAAGCGATTACTATTTTACCGGCTGTCGGTGGCAAATTTCTAAGCATTCCACCTTAGCGCTTTGGTAATTAGGTACTTTCGTTACATATATTTACAAAACCAAAATATACGTAAATCTTCGGGAAATTTACGAAGTAACGACATCTGCGTGAATACCCTTAATATCTTTCGTTGTTTGCTTTCCTCCAGCAGAAAAGGCTATCAATAAATCGACTGCTTTTTAGTGACTTACTCGTATTACGTATAATTAAAAATGAGTAGTTGGGTCATTTGCATAAGCAAAGTAAGAAAATTATTATTTGTCGATTTTAATTATACCTTTCGTTAACACGTACTTATCGTCGTTATCAAAGCAAAATTTCCTAAGTGGCATTTTTCGAAAAAAAAAAAAATTTCACTGATTTAGATATTAGTTCGCACAAATTTAGTAGTAGTAATTTCTTTAAAAATAACCGGTTTGTTAACTTTTTGGAGAGTTTATTAAAACATTTCATATGAACATTTCATACGTTTTTTTTTTGTTTGCTTTTTGCATTCAAAATGAAAATGTAACTTAGTGTAAGTTGTCATAATGGAGACGATATGGAAATTATGACTTTAGTGTCACAAATGCATTTGATGATTGAATTAATAATTTTATTATATACTGAAAAGCCTATACCTATTGTACTCGTACAATATCTAAAGTAAAAACATTCAAGCTTAATTGATGCCCAACTGGTGGCTTGGTCGATTAATTTCGAAACGGGTTTCTTGCTCGCACTCTCTCATAGAATTATTGAAGGAAAATTTTTGCTTTGCAACCATCACATTTTACTTACATACTTATCTATGTATTCCCGTAATTATTTTCTTTTACATACATATGTACAAAAGTACATAGAAATTGTGTTTGTAGTTTTTACTTCATCAAGTATAAGGTGATTTATGAATGACATGATAATTTATTTTTATTTGAAATAATCACGTTGTCAAAGGAGATGAAGATAATTATGCCGATTATGATTGCCGATTAGTATCCTCAATATAAAAATATCGATATGATGTGTCTGCAGAAATAATTTTGCAGCAGGTTTGGCCAACAATGGAACATACAGTTACAGTGTTGATTTGTCCCTAAAAAATATAAAAAAGAGGCTCCTAAGGGGTTTCCCTAAAAACTATAAAAAAAAACGCTCCTAAGGGGTTTTTATAAGATAAGATCTTAAGAGCTTCAACATTGGACTTACGAAGGTCGGGTAATGCAGAAAAAACGTTAGAGTTGACTCCAATTCACCATCCTTCGACCATCCTCCGCACAGCGTCTACAACGAGATGCCAAAGCGACGATAAGACCTTCACAATGGGTTTCAGACAGTGCTTAGTCGTCACTCGATAGTTTGCCCATTGAGTGCTTGGAAAGCTACTTTAGCCGTGCCCTTAATGCCTGACAAAACTTTGTCGAGATAGCTTTGCTTTGCCAGTTAATCTGCCAGATTGTTTCCTGCTGATTTGGCATGTTCTAGTCAGGGATAACACTTTACCACAATTGTGGTAGGTCTAACACATTTTGGGTAATTTTTCACTTCTACCACAACTACCGCATATTTTTAAAAATCTTCCACAATTTTGGTGAAATAAAATTAATAATCTAATTTGCCAAAAGGTTGCTGTCATGAATTAACAATTCTTCCTGATATAAATCGGGCTTTAAAGAGCAGAAATGTGTACTATATTTAGGATTGCATTTGGCGGGATTTCAACCCACGTCCTCGGTGTTTTAAGTCAACATCTCAATCTCTACATGTAACAATAATAGATGCGTTCAGAAACACACCCAATAATATACTGAGGCGCTTACTCAATATGTTAGTGTTTGGCCGAGCTTCTCTTCCGATTTGTGCCAGAAAGGCCAGTTTTATGTCGACTCTGAACGGCGATTGTATTTTTATGAGAAGCTGTTTTTCAATGCAGAAATACACTCGGGAGTTTGCACAATTCTAACCACTACATCACAGCGACCTACATACGAGACCTATATTCGGATACACTTTTTTGGATTTTGGCATCGATATTTGAAATATTGAGTCTTTTTATTCCGATATTAATGGGTACCCGATATTTTTAAAGCGATACTTTAAATGAGTACCATATCGATACTTTCGGTTCGATATCGTGTACCTACTTTCAACAGGTTAAGAGCTCCATGTATTTTGGAATGAATTTCCGTCATCCTTTGTTAAATTTGGTTTGTTTTTATGTAATCTCCAGTGTGCAGCCAGTCGACTGTTATCAGCAAGCTTCTTTCGAGACGACAACGTATATCATTCTTTCATCATAGTCTTGAATTCACCGACTTTTCCCACCCCTCCTCCAGAAGAATACTGCTTAAGAAAATTACTTCAAACATTTAACTTTCTTGTTAATATTTTTTTATTTAAATTATGCATTCTTACCGTTACTTACATATCTACAATATGTATACTCTATATGTTGTACATATATTTAGATACAAAAATGATACATCAAAATTAAGAAAATCAAAGTTAATGAAACCCTAACATCACTGTCGCCAATACTAAAATACAAACCATTAAAAAGTAATTATTAAGGAAAATTCTTAAAAAGTCAGCATTATTTTGCACTTTTTTCAATAACAAAACAAGTAGTTTTACATCTAACATAAACGAAATTTTTTCACAAATTCCTCGAATTCAAAAAGCTTTTGAGGCATTTAATGTGTGTTCTGCAAGTGACCCATTAAGTAGGCAATGGAGAATGCATTGGCTAGTGAGGGCACCGTCAGCGTCGGGGGCACTACTGGCATTAGTTTGCTTTGTACTACGCCTGCGCCACTGCTGCGATTCCAGTGTTCCCTCGCTTGCGCGCGGCAGTTGTCCTCTACGCCCACCACATCGATTTCCGGCTCTTCCTCCGAACCACCACCACCGTTGGCATCCGTTAGCGCATCCGTTAATTGTTCGAGCTGATGCAACTGCTGCAGAAGCGCATTGCCACGCAGCTGCTCCTCCAACATATCAAAATTTAATTTCTCGAACTCCTTGCACTGCTCTTCGACAGCAATTTGCTCCAACTTTTTCAGTCGCCGGCTTATGCGGCAAGCAATGGTATTTTTATTGCGACGCTCCTGATCCTTTGGCGAGCGCTCTTTCTTCGGAAACTGGCGCACCATATTGCCATGGTAGGAGCAAATGCTGCGCAGTTTATCTTCGCTGATGCGCGACAATACAGTGGCGGAGGGCAGAGACAGTGCACGCTTAGCGGCAAGGCTGTTTGCATCGGCGCTTGCCGGGGACAACTCCAATGTGCCGACGGCTGTTGGTTTTACGGCTGCTTTAATGCTGTTGACGTCGAGTTTTGTAGCGGTTTTGATTGTGGTGGTGATAGGCGCATGCGGTATGTTAATGTTGGTGGTAATTCTGGCGCGCTTCAGTGCAGCATTTGTGCTTTTCGCTGGTGAATTTGTTTCGACGCGCTGTAAGGCGGTCTTCTGCGCCTTGGCAGGCGGGTCTGCGAGCGCCGACGGCTTAAATGTACGTTTCAGCTGTCTTGGTAGCTGCTGAGCTGTAATGGTTTGCTTTTGGGGTGTCACCGCGATGCCACTATCCTCGCTGGGATTGCTGGAAGATGGTCCACCCGATAGTAGGCGACGTCTTTTGCTGCTGGGCGTGCTAGACGCGTTAAAGCGTGCCACAAAGCCGGCATAGTCCGAGGAACAGTTGGAGTCGGTGGAGAGAGGTGTGGAAACTCGCTCAGCGCCGTAAAATGGTGCAGGGTGGAGCGCAACGGGACCAGTTAATGTACTACGCGGAGTGATGACTTGCTCGATTTCTTGTTCTGCTTCTTCATCACGGGAACGCTTACGCTTGTCGAACTTCTTGTGGCGATACGAAAAGGCCTCAGCAGCTGATTGCAATGAAAGATCCATTTTGTTTAAATTCTTTTAGATGAAGATTTCTTTTAACGTATTTTGCAAATTTAAAATTTCTTCAATAATGTTTTTTATTTAATAACGGTTGCGCTTCGTCTGCAATGTCTTTTCCGTAGGCTTCAATTCCAAGGAATGATTCTGCTTCCTGGTGAAAACTTCAATTTATATGCAACAAAATGTTGCGATATCAGCGTTGCTGCCACACATAAAAGCAGCATTAGTTTGGCTTTCTTTGCTGATAACGCGCGAAGCACAAACAAAACACTTGTATTTGTTTTCGTTTTTTTTTTTCTTCGTTCCTTCTTGTTGTTTCAAATATGTTTTTGCAAAACGCCATCGAATGCATTAACTAATTTCGGCACAAACAAGTATTCTTCTTCTTCCGTTGTTATTGTCCTTGCGTGCGTGCACCTTTCACTGTTGTTGCGGCTGCGCAGCGGTCACGCTTTGTCATTTTGTTTTGCTCAGCTGGTTTATTGATTGTTGTTTACGTTACGGTGTTATTTGTTTTGATCATCTAGTTTTTGGGTTTGTTTACATTTTCGTAGCAAGTAGCTGATTTTGGGTACAGTCAGACGCTTTGTTGTTTTTATGTTTTTGTTTTTCAGTTAATCGTTAGCAGGTAGTTGGAGTAATCACATGTAAATATGCATTTATTATAACTCTAATCGATATGGAAATAGAATTTTTGCAAAACTGTTAGCTCTGAAAAATTGCAAAATTGCGAATGCTGCGCATGGGCGTCGAAAAAGTTTTGAAAATTGATATTAAAATATGAGCTAATAAAATCAAGTGCATTGAATTTTTCTTTTATGAACCAATACATGTACATTAGAGTGATCCAAAAAAATTTTCCGAGATCAAGTCCGGGGCACCTTCCAAAATGTTTCCTCTCTAAGTATAAATTTCGAGGATGCTCATGAAATGTTTATATTTTTTTTCTGTAAGTATATTATTACATATTACAAGCTTCAGTTGTCATGGCAACAGTAAATTTTTTATAAAAATCATCAGTATTTTTCTCAGTTTCAAAGGGATTCAGCACCCTGTATTGGTTACAGTAGAAAATTGAAAGTTGGTGTTGATATTACAAATACCAAAAGGAAAACCTAAGGGTGTGCCCCATTTTTCACGGTTAAATTTTTTCTCCGCATACAAAACTTGAACCACTCTAATGTACATACATATGTACATACATAGTCAAACACATTTTTGTTAGCTTGTTAATTAAAATATTTTTTGAGGAAAAATGGAAAAAGCAACAAAGCGTAAGCGGTAGAAGTTATAGCTGCCATTTCGGAGATCTCCTCAGCAGACTTCTATCTCTAGACTTCAGCAGGGTTCGAACCCGCAGCGCTAACCACTAAGCCATGCACACCCCGTAAACTCTTGTTGCTAATCCTATAAAGTATTTTTTTATACGTATTGTCGCCGTTCGGAGTCGGCGTAAAACTGTAAGTCCCTCCGCTTTGTGTGACAACACCAAGGCGCACGCCACAAGTCGGAGGAGAAGCTCGACTAAACACTAACATATGTGTAAGCGCCAATCTATTATTATTATTGTCCTTTTAATTTTAAACTATACAAACTTTAAATGAGCTCAGGCGCAGCAATTAAATAAAATTTCTTGGGAACTCGTAGTTGTACCTGGTCGAGTGAAACAAGAATTAGAGTTTTATTTAATGTTGTGCCTCGTAAAAAGTTTTCATAATTCTGGAACTAAAAAATTTAAAAAAAAAAACTCGAAAAAATATGCATTAAAACTTAAATAAAATTTTTAGAAAGTGGCTTTTATATAAGAAAGTAAATCTTTAATTGAAAGTGGTAACAAAAAACTTTTTATTACGAAATTTAAATTTTAAATACATTACAAAATTTACAGAAGGTTTTAATTTTTTTTTTTATTAAAAGCTGCTTCACTCATTACATTACGCCTGTTTGGGACTTCAATGCGAAGATACCCATTAGGTTCCCGGCCAAAGAAGAATGGGAAGCAAGACTGCCAGTAGCAGAGGCGGGTATATTCATCTACACTGAAGATACAAAGATGGAACAAGAAACCGGAGCCGATGTCTACTCGAAGGACCTGCAGATCACCTTGCTAGCTATAACTGTACAAATTTATGACGTCATTGCCATTATTTTTGTTCGCAAACCCTTTTGTTTCAACTTGTTTTCTTCTTCAGCTTCTCGTTAAAAAAACAAAAAAAAAAATCTCACATTATTTTTGCCGTTCATTTTTATGTATTGTAATCACTTTGTGTGCGGCTTTTGTTAGCGGCTAACTGTACCATTTCAAGACCATTCAACACTTAGCTAAAATAACTGCATTGCACCTTTTTTGCCACGACATACTTGCTCGCTCACTTAGAAATAAGTAGCATACTAATGCCACCAAGCGGCAAGATTAGTCCCGCCTAGTAGGTGGCAATTTGTTTACACACGCATTTGCTTGCAGCGCGATCAATTTTCGCGGCAAAAATATCTTTCGTCAAATATTCATTCACTTTGCTTAATTCTTATTTGCACATTGGATGTAGATTGTGTCTCATAATGCAACTAACTACATGCCACAATAACGACATTGCATTACATGCAACGGGGGGGTTGCACACATCTTTACATACTTACAATACTTACTTCTAGCTCGAAAGTGTTATCACTTTATTTACATTTATCCTGCTGTGCATTGTAGCATCCGCACAGCTTAGTTGCTGCAATCTCAAATTTCATTGTTGTTTTTTGCTTATTATATATGTATGTTGATGGGTTCAGTTCCACATAATTGTTCAATTAGCAATGGACTCACTGTGGCGTGCTTATTAATATATGCATATGTATGTATGTATGTATGTGTATATGTGAATCAAATAGTAAAGCAATGCATTTTCAATATTAAATTAATCTTTGTTGACTCTCAACCAGCCGAGCAACAGATAAGCCGATCTTCTTTTCGGTAGTTTATTGATTTTGCTGCTATTCAAGGCTCTTTGGCGTCACACAAATTTAAGTTATACATTCTATCTTTTCTGAGAATTGTCTATTTGGCATAAATGATCACTTAAAAATGATTCCAAGTAAATTTTTGTTGAAATGAAGTGTTTAAATATTTACTTTTTATTTTTCAGATAGCCATCTACTTGACACATACATAAATGTAACATATTCAACTGCCGGAAAAGCTTGGTTTAGGAGCTTAGTGGTGCCTTAAACGTGATTATACTAACTAAACTTATTTCTGTGTTTCAACTCCGCGTCGAAAAGTCCAAAAAATTAGTAACCATCACAAACGTTGACTGTTAATCCCAGTTACAACGGTAAGTCAAATAATATTAAATAATTTAGAAATCTTCAGCCAGCATACAATCATATTTCGCATAGTGTGTCGCCCGATAATTCCAATAATTGCCACATACTTTTAGCATTGTTGACGCTATTTCCATTTAAATGAGGAAATAGCATCATTTACTTTATTTCCAAATTTCTATTGACTTTATTTCGCTTTTAAAAGGTAATAAAAATTTAATAATGTCAATTGACTTTAATTCGCAACAGTATGCGAAATAGTGTCAATTGACCTTATTTCCGTTGATCTTGTTACCTGTCACCTTTTTTTTTTTGTGAGTGCCGGTGTTACCCATTGATTAATTTAGCTACCCTCACCAAAAAATTCGAGCATGCACGCACAAATACCTACGAGTGTATGTATGTATCTATGTATATGTCTACTTTTGTACCAACTTACTACATATATGTACATACATATGTATGTATATAATATTCAAACAAATTTCAATATCACGAAAATAGCGAAATCGTTGATTCGANTATATGTATGCATATATTCAAACAAATTTCAATATCACGAAAATAGCGAAATCGTTGATTCGAAATTTTGTGCTAATCTAATGGCGTTTGTTGATTTTAAAACTGTTTAAAGTCCAAAATTATTATATATGTATAATAATTTTTATGCATCCGTGGCTTCATCCATCTGTCTCTTTAAAATTGTGTAAACTTTTTAAATCTACTAAGTAAACGATGCCATTTCGGGCGATAAGCGCAACTGAAATATTTTCTAGTGCAATTGTACAATGAATTTTCATATTCAAATTATTTCATTCTTTTTATCAACATTTTTGTGTATGGAAATGTGCGACAAATCTAGGATCTTTGCATATACATACATATGTACATATGTATGTATGTACAGCTCGCGACAAAACGATAGCACCACCAACATTTTGAACAGTTTTGACTATTTANGCTTGATTAGTAACTCAAATGATGTAAATGTGCGACAATATGTACATATGTATGTATGTACAGCCCGCGACAAAACGATAGCACCACCAACATTTTGAACAGTTTTGACTATTTATCTTTTGTTTCTTTAATGTTCACTATTTTTATATAAAATTATGGCTCCTTATCTAACAAATACCATATCAATCCAAATTTCGGACTTTGTGCAAAAATTATAAAAATTCCACAAACTTTTCATCGCAACCCCAAAATTTTCATTTTAATTTCTAGAATAATTTTTGGTATACAGTTTTATAGGTTATCAAATGCCAGTACTATAAAGTCCAAGTTTGAAGTTGCTAAAAAATTGCGTTGCTTTTTAATAATCATTTGCTGATCACGCATTTTCTTCCATACAAAGTAATTTTTTGTATGGAAAAAAGTGCATAACACCGTCAGAAAAAAATATCAAAAATCAATGCGATTTTTAGCAACTTCAAAGTGTCACTTTATTATACTAGATTTTAATAAGCTATAAAACTGCATACCAAAACTTAATTTAGAAACTCTAATTAAAATACTTGAAATTGGAATGAAAAGTGTGTTCCATTTTTTTTTTTTTTAATTTTTGTACAAAGTTTGAAATTTGGACTTAAATGGTTTTTGTTAGATAATGTGCTGAACTTAATTAAAAAATTAATGAACTTTAAAAAAAGCCAAAAAAAACAATAAGTCAAAACTGGTAAAAATTT